ACCGCTCTTTCAGTTCTTCCCAGAAAATCTTAGCACTTGGTGAATTCCACAAAAAAAAGCAGCTTAATAATTCAGTGTAAGCATGCCTTTATTGCTCGTGTTCCTCCAACTCTGGCCTGTTCTCTTGAATGAATCTTAAATGAATCTTAAATGTTGCGAACAAAAAACTGTGCCTGAGCAGCATGTACTTATCAGTCTGGGTTTTTAGGATGATCTTTCTAATGAAGTTAAATTAGGTTTGAGCTGCTGGACTGTGATGTGGCTCTGGTGGCCTCCCACATGTGCAAGGTATTGCAGGGGCCCTGGCTGCTGCTTCCTGCTCTGGAACTGGCCTCTGAGCTTTTTCTGCTTACCCTGGGGATTCCCCACAACTCTTGATTGGACTGGCACCCAGTTTCTCTATGCTGGAAGGTCTGGCCTGTGATGCTTATTTTGTTGCCTGAGAAACTAGTTTCTCTGAGCTCAGGAGGGGACAGGCAGGTGCAAACTCAGCTTGAAGTGACCGGTGCATGTGGAAAAAGGAAAATAATATCTTTGTCCTGCACTCCCTTCTTCCTCTGAGTGTGGCACCATGCAGCCAGCTTTTTATGCTCTTCAGTGTGCAGTTGTTCACAGGAAATAAGAGCAAAGTGGTGGGGTGCTATTATTAGCTGCACATAATGTAAGTGTGAAAGGAGATGTAATGGGTACTTTGACCGCTGATGAAATGCAGGAAGGGGAGCTGGAGAGCTCTGTGTTGTAGAGAGCTTGTGTCAGGTAATTGCAGTTTAATTGCACAGTGTCCTTTGTGAATCCTGCAGCACCTTACAAGTGAGAGTGTCTTGAGTCTTGTTTGCATGGTGTGCAGACTTTGTTGTTTCTTCCTCCTAAGAGAAAAAGTTGTGTTTGAGGGTGGTAATTTGCTTGCCTAGCAATGCTCAGTAAGCCTCCAGTCCTTGATTCAGGATCCAGTGAGTGTCAGGAGGTCTTTGGACAGGTCTTGATCTTGAAAAGAAAAAAAAAAAGCATGTGTTTGTGTAACTATGATGATATTTGAGTATCTGTATAACACTTTGAATGAAATCTTTCATATTAGAAATGTATTTTTAATATCTTGTTACTGGCAGAGGTTTCTGTGGAAGAGACAGGAAAGAAAAGCAGTTCTTCTGATTCCTGGTTTTCTACCTTGCTTTCTGCCTTTGTCTGCTGCTTACGTGAGCAACATTAAAATGACACCACCTACATACAGGGAACATTGAGATGTAAAGATGTGAGATAACATGCCAACAACTTTCTTGCTAGAAAGCTTTACTTTAATTTTTTTAAGTCTGAACTTCATAGCTGATGTGATGTTTCAAGTGGAAATGGTCAACTGCTTGCTATATGTGCACAAGTCTGTGTTAGTTTTCTTTTTCCTTTTCAGTTCCATTAAAAGATTTGAAACAAGTTTAAGCTGAAAGAAAAAAAATTGAGTTTCCTGTTAACGTGACGAGAACTAGAGCAGTGAGTCACTTTGCTCTTTGAACTTCTCTGTGCAAATGAAATTCAAGTCACTAACACTTTCCAAGACAGTGTGACAAGTTTGCAAACGCATTCCCAGTGAAGCTCAGTGATAATGCAGGGAATAGTCCTCAGGTGTCTTCAGCCACAGCCTCCAAAAAAAGTAAATTAAATTGTCTTCCTAGAGTCACAGGTGAAGTGAAGCAGAACGCGACGAACACAGTGGTGTGCAGAGTGCAGGGGGAGTGGAACAGCATCCTGGAGTTCACCTACAGCAACGGGGAGACAAAATACGTGGACTTGACAAAACTGTCTGTGACAAGAAAACGGGTTCGGCCCCTCGAGAAACAAGGACCGTTTGAATCTAGGTAGTGTATTTGTTTGCTGTTGTCTGGCCCTTTCAGTTCTAAGCAGGCTGGTGGATGCCTTAGGAAAACCTGCAGATGTAGGTGTTACCTGTGGATAGTGCTTAGCAGCAGTGAACTTAATTTATTATTTTTAAAGCACAGAAAACAAGTGCATAATAAAAAGTGCAGGCACACGGTTGTTTATCTGGTCTCTTTAATTTATAGACAGGGTTGTCTTATGAGTTCAGAAAGTGTCTACTAGAACAGAGCCTCCTTTTTTGGTTTTTAACCATCAGCTATACAGCAGGGAGGTTGCAAAGCTGTTGAGTAACTCTTCCTTGGCAACTTGAAAGGGTGTACAAACAGGCACTAGATGGGCACAGCCAAAACCTCAGAACCATCCCTATGCACTCCTTATTGCTAGCGTAGCTGTGGCCGTGAGCTCCTCCAGCTGCACTGCACCATCAAGCTCTGACCTGGGTTGGTTTGTCATGTGTAAGCGGAGGGAGTGCTCTTGCTCTGAAGGAACTGCATGCAGTGATCCTGCAGTTGGAGGTGGCAGGCTGAGACAACTTGAAAACTGAGGTTGAGCATTTGTTTTGTAGGAGGCTATGGCAGCATGTAACAGAGTCTCTGCGGGATGGAGACATTGACAAGGCTACGGAGCATAAGCGAGCCCTTGAGGAACGGCAGAGGAATGAAGAGAGGATTCGTGCTGAAACAGAAACACCTTGGTGTACCAAATACTTCCTTAAAGATGTAAGTTTCCAAGGAGTTAAGTGTTGATGAAGGCAGGGCTACACTTGAAGGCAGGTGCATATATGGGTCTATGTCCCTTGGCCTTGGATCTTATAGTTTAGCTCCATAGGAGTAAGATGACATAAGCACTCCCAAAGATGAAAAGGTGTGACTTTAACGTTCACTTCCCAAACACTTTTTGTTGCAAGGGAATCACAAAACTAATGTTTGCTTGTTTTGTGGCTTGGTTTCTTTTACCAAGCATTCCTGTGGCACGTGGAAAACAACTTTGTGTACACGTGTGCGTAGACTGTGACAGTAAAGACCCAAAGAAAGTTTTCAGTAGTATTAATTATGCTTACATTGTGTGCATATGAACACAAGATGTTACTGTTAGCAAGAAAGAACATAGGTGCATTCTTAACTTAGAAATGTTGTGTTCTTGTACATTACGTTTTGGATGGAGTTTATTTGTTCAGTAGTTTAATGTGTATTTCAAGAATCATAGAACAGTTTGTGTTCAAAGGGACCTTAAAGATCATCTAGTTCCAACCCCCCTGCATGGGCAGGGACACCTCCCACTAAAACATGTAGCTCCAAGCCCCATCCAACCTGGCTGTGAACACTTCCAGGGATGGGGCATCTACAGCTTCTCTGGCAACCTGTTCCAGTGTCTCACCATGCTCATAGTGAAGAATTTCTTCCTAATATCTAATCTAAATCCACTCTCCTTCAGTTTGAAACCATTCCCCCTCATCCTATCACTACATGCCCTACTAGTAATAATAATAACACAGTAAGATTGTTAACAAGGTGAACTGCAGACTGCTCAGGGAGACTGGGGGCTGCTGGTATTACAACTTTGAAACAGGCTTTCCTTGTGATCCAGATAATGAGACCATGCTGTGTAGAGAGCTTTGCTAAGCCCCATGCAAGAAGGGAGAACTGGGCTAAAATTGATCCTGTAGTAGTTCAGATTCTCATTGCAGTGAAAGTTTTATCTGTTAAACTGCAGTATTGCAACTCCCTCTTCTTCTTTCCATATCTGTAGTCTAACAAAGGCTTAAAAGATAAGCTAAAAGGTTTTTCCTCATTTTTATATTGTGTGTGCATTTTTTGTTATTGTTTCTTGTTGTGTTTTTTTTTGTTTTTTCCGTTTTCCACTTTTGTGTTTTAAAGTTCAGGACTACCTGTGAGCTCCAGTAGAGTTTTTTGTTCTTTAAGACTCTCTTAGTATGAGCTGAGATTTAGATGTTTGTATTGTTAGTGTCTAGATTTAGAGGAGATAAAAATCCTGTTGCTAATCCAAGATACAGATCTACTCAGAAAATGCATCCATGTAAACCTGAGCCACTTCATTTCCAGGTGGAAATGGAGTTGGGCTGTGTCAGAGCTGATAATCCTGGATAACTGCCTCTCTGCTGGCTTCTTGTTTGGCTTTTTGAAGTAATTTGGATCACTGGGTTGAGCAGAGTGGCTTTCCATCTGGGTTAATTACAACTGCAGTCAATTTCCAGAGTGTACTATGGCTTGACAAGAGTCAGTTCATGTTTTGAAGTAGTCTCGGAAGGCTGCAGCATTGATCTGTGTCTTCATCTGTGGGAGTTAATCAGAGAGATGTAGCTTATACCTTTTTCACAGCTCTCAGTGTAATAGTTGTATGAAGGGAATTCTCCCGGGGCAGTGTCTTTTATTATAACCTTATTTTCTCTTTAAATTGCAGGGAGATGGCTGGGTTTATCATAAACCCCTCTGGAAAACAGCATCTGCTGTGCAAACTCAGCAAACGGACACTAACTAGAAAAGCTGCTTTCAGATGAGTTTTCTGATTTTCCTCTCCTTTTCCACTGTCTCTTAAAACACAGTAATCACACTGAGTGTGCCCTTTTTATGTAATTGTGGAAGTTTAAATGAGCATAAAGAAATAAGTATACTAGGGCACTTTAAAGCTATTATAAAAAAAAGTTGTAGAGACAAACTTGACAGGTACATTCAACCAACTTGCTTTTTGTATGATCCAAGATATTTTATCTGAGTTGTGTAAGATTCTTCTAAGTAGATCTGATTGCAAAAGCTGCCTAAGAGAAGAAGGAACTGTTGGATTTTGGAGTGACATGGGAACTTTTTTCAGAATCTGCATCAAGCTCTTTAATAACAGAAACCTGCTCAGTACCCATGTAGACAAGAGCAACAAAAAATTGCTGCTTTTATGCCCAGTGATTAACCTTTCTGGCGAAAACTGGAAGGATGTTTGGAAGATGTGCCTGAAATCAGTGTTAACAAACAACTGGATTGTGATGACTCTTTTTTCTTCAGAGAGAAAATGTGCATGCATTGGAGGAATATGGAATATGTGTAGAGACTATACTTTTCTTTTTTTATGGATTTATAAAAGCAATTAGAATTGTAACCGTGGAGAAATTTTTCCTCTGAAACTCTTTAATATACTTGAAATAACTGACTTGAATTGGAAAAGTAATTTGAACACTTTTCAACTCCTAATTTTATTAAATCTCTTTGAGTGACTGATTTTTCTTATGTTATAATGTAATGAGGTTTGGCCTTTTTTTCCTCCTCCACCTTCTCTTCCCAAGGACTAAGGCTTTCAAAATGAACCGAAAACTTACAATTTTGTATTTAAATTTCTCTGCCCATCTAATCATCTCAGAGGTGAAGTATCAGTGTTACAAACTGTCCTTTGGATTGTTTTGGTTTTTCTCCTGTGGTGTTATTCAGAACAAAGCCGTGAAATGTGACCTGTGAATACATGGACTGTAGGTTCTGGTTTTTCATCTTACCATAAAAAAAAAAAAAGCTGATTATGCTGAGGACTGGGTATTGATTTGAAACACAATCAGATATCAGGAAACTGTATTCAGGTACAAACATCCTTTGGGTTTTTTTAATAACTATTTTATTGAACTTTAAGAATTGCTGGCAATTAAGAATAGTACTTATTATGGCTTTCCTTATTGTTGTAACTACAAGCTACCTTAATTTTTCCAACGGTGGTGCCTTACTCTGTTTTTTCTTCTGATGTAGTCTTCCAATCAGTGTATATAACATTATCTGCCACTTCCCAGCCATGGTGATGGCTGCACCTGATCCAGCATCATGAGAACTCACAACAGTGTGATCTGGTAAGATGTTTTCCATGGAGAAGATCCCAGTGTAAGAATGCATCAGAAGGTTTAAATAACCATGTTAACTTTCAAGACAAACTGTAAATTGTGCAAAAAAAGAAAAAAAGTTGGGTTTATGCACAACCATTTTGATCCTCTTTTACTTTTTCCTTTTTTTTTTTTTTCTGACAAATGCACTGAGATCTCAATGTGAGTCATAGTCTGTTTGTGGGAAGTGGGGGTGGGAATAATAAAGCTACAAAATGATTCATTTGTTCTGTCTGCTTTCACAGAGAACAAGTGACCAGAAAGAGTAGGTTGTTGTTATCTTTTATGCTGGAGATCTGTTTGTCTGGGTTTTCCTTGGCCCTTCAAGTTAAGATATTTTGGCACTGTGCACTTGAGCAGTATCTATATTCTCTGGCAGAAGAATGTTTTAGGCCCTGCTGTCTTCTTTGTGATATTCTATACAACCATCCTGTTGTGTTAGTTTTGGACATCCATTGGGCATTTTCATGTTTAACCAGGAATAAAAATAAAATTGAAAACAGTGGGATTAGTTGCTCCTTGTTTCTGAGTCTGCGGCACATTTGGGATGTGCTCCTTGGCCGGTTCCAAGATTTGGGATAGCAATGATGGTGGCAATGTGTGAACTTCCATGTTTCATCAGTGTCTGCACCAAACTGGGGGTGGTAGAGGGACTGAAGATAATCTGACAATACTGCATATGTTTCACAGCTGTTTTATCTCTGTCACATGCAGATTTGGTTTAAACAACCAGCAAGAGCTGTGGTGCAAGATCCAGCTTTCAGTGCTGCAGTGATCAGAGCAGAAAGCAAATCTTTATCAGCTGAGCATGCTGAGGAATCAAACTTGTACTTGTTACAATATAGACCTATGGCTCAGTCACTGAGCTCTGCTGAAATTTTTGATTTGGGAATTTGTCAAGGTGACAGCTGTAAGACAGACTGAAAAGCTCCCATGTTGACCATAAACCCATTTGTGTTCCCTATATAATAACATTAGTCAAGTTAGTTTTCTTCCACCCTCATCTGGTATGCTTGTGGTTTCACACTGAGAAAGCTGTTACTAATTTTGTTGTGTAAAATTAGACCCAGCACTGAAGAAATAATATTTTAAAATACTTGAAACTATTTATTTTAGCCTGGGAGGTGCTGCTAGAAAAGAAGCTAAAGCCTTTTGTTGCTCAGATGTCTTCACAATGTGGATTTAGTTACAATGCAGATTTCTAGTTACTTCTGGAAATAAAGAACATAGTTCGAAACAGTTTAAAAAAATTCTAGCCACTGAATATCCAATTTAAATTGTAAGACATTCATGTGTCTCTTCTGAGAGCTGCAAGCACCCTAAGACTAATGTATGTATTTTTAACTCTGATTCTCTTGCTCAACTGCTGTTCTTTCCCTCTTGTACCTTCTGGAGTGAATGGAAGGATTTGCTGCTGCTTCCTATGTAGATATTTGCTAGAACCACAGTGTGTTCAAGGGAGAATGTGGTAAAATGTAGGGCTTAGACTCATGTTCCCTTTTGTATTTTTGGCTTGATTGGCTTCACTGAAGTTAAGAGTAAAATTCACATTGGTCTACAATATAAGCTGTCAAGCCTAGGGTTAAATCTGCCTCCCCAGGAGAATTTGGATTTTGGCCATTAGAATCAGGGATCCTGCCTTCAATGTCTAGTTTGCAGGGGCTCATCCCCCTCTGTCCCAATCCTGTGGAAGATCAGATCAAAGTGTCTTTCAAAGCCTCTTGCACTGAACTTGTAAGAACACGTAGACATATTCACCAGTGTTACATCCAAACAGTTTGGTAGGGGACACTCTGCACTGAATGTTACAGGAAGGAAAGACTGGACAGACTGAGGGGAGTTTGGTGGGTTCCCATAGTTTCTTAGGTCCATGTCAGAAAGGCTGCCCCATGCTCTCTGTTTCTCTTATGCATGCATTCAGCAGAACAGTGGTTAATATAATAAATGAGGCTGAAGTCAGGCAGGTGGAAAGGTTTGTGTTTAACTGGGAAGGCTATGCTTCAAGAGAAGGGGTTTAGCTTGAAAAAAAATCAAGGTGACAGAAGGTAGCAGCCAGATGGGGAACTGGTGGGAATCATAGAATCACTTAGGTTGGAAAAGACCTTTAAGCTCATCGAGTTCAACCATAAAACTAACACTTCCAAGTCTGTCACTAAACAGTGTCCCTAAAATGAAAAGTATAGTCACAGTTACAGGTGGAAACTCGTGTGCTAGCTGAAGTTAAGTTTTTATTATATAGTTTTGTTGCAAACTTGTTTACTCTCCTTCCATCTTCCTTTGAAGGGATGAGAGACAATTTTGTTCTAGGTTTTTTAATCTAGGAGCTGTGGAAATGAACCGAAGAGGTGGAAACAATAACAAGAGAAGAAAAGCTTTTTGTGTGGGCTGGTGCTTTCATATATGTTCATTTTAGAAAACCTAAACAGCCCTGCAGATCTTCCCTGCTCCACAAGGTAGAAGGCTTATGGCTGTTGTATGATTTTCTTCCTTCCCCTCTCTTGTAGGAGTTGATCCATGCAGCCATGTGCTGACAAACCATATTCTGAAAGAGATACCTCTGTCTAGGTGAGTGTAAGGTGTGGACTTGGAGGGCTGCTTGGTAGCAGTGCAGGTTTTCATTACCTTTTGCTTCCAGGGGTGGAGGGATTGAGATTTGCCCGGTGCCAGGGTTCAGAGTGAGATATGACTTACCTTTCCTTAGTTGCCTTTCCACTAAAGAGCCATCTGTCTTGGTCTGTTGGTTACAGAATTAAAGGTTCTGGTTCTATCTGATCATGTTTCTTCAGGTTGAGTAACAAAGCAGAGGGGTGGGAAGGTGCTGCGAGAATTAGCCAACACGTTTGTGTTGCCAGTATTACTGTGGCACAAATCTGTTGGCTGGAGGTGGCTGGAAACTGT